AATCTTAAATACAAAAAGTTTCTATTTAAAAGAAAATACTTTCTATTTTATCAAATTTCTCCCCCTTTTTATTATTCCTTCAGGAAAATTATCTAATCAGACTTCCTTTCAAATCAGAAGGCCATCATACCTGGATGAATGGGACAGCCCAATTACTAACACCAGCGGGACATCGAAGAATGTGGTTTAGAAGGAAGATGTGGTCTCCAGTGCAACCAAATCTTTGTAATACTGCTACCTGAAAAACCAAGGAGGTAAGGTCTCACTGTTTAAAAAGAAGAAAACTTTATCGAGGGAGATCTAGTAAAGTCACTTATCCAGTGTTTAAATACATGGAACCATTCACAAGAGTAACTAGATATAAAAAACACTGAAGAGTGGTTGAGGTTCTACCATACAGAGGCAGTGTGTCCTATGAAACTAAGAGTATTGTGATAAGATTTCAGAAGTCATGTCTCTGAAAATACAAGAATTTTTTTTTTATTTCCACTAACCACATCTGAATAGAAAAGGCAAACTTCATTCTATTCTCAGGATTTTTTGTTAGTTTTTGTTGTTGTTGGTTTGGGTTTTTTTTTTTTAATTTTTTTGAGATGCACCGTCAAATCAGATCTGACTGGTACAGGAGGGGATTGCCCCTTTTCCTCCAGCATAGCATCTGGTGGATTCGAACCACAAGCCTCTGGGACTGCAGTGCAGCTTCTTGCCACTAGGCTACTAGAGCTCCCTTCTACTCTTAAGTTTTTTAACCAAACCTGAAATGCAAATAGGTATTCTCAGAATAATACTCCATAGTGAAAAATGTTCATATGAACCTAACAAATACCAAAGGTGCCCCACTGAGGAACAAGCAACCAACAAAATACCCAAGCCCTCCGCAGTACACGTAATATCCTGCCTCAACTTTCCAAATGCTGGTATCTTTCTAATTCCCCTTTAAAAAAAAAAAGATGACTAAACACAAAATTAAAACAAAAAAAGGACAAAAAGAAATAGAAAATACATGTTCAATTTTTAGATCAAACACCAATATTCTGAATATACATAGTTCTTATTTTTCCATTTCTTCCTAAAAGTGAGGATTCATTTTAACAAAAGATTTGTGAGAGAAAGCACTCTGTACCCAGTAACACGAGGTAAATACCATGTATACAATGCCATGATCAAAGAAAATGCCACGATTAACTTACTAAGTAAACTAGTTCAAGAAACTGTCAAAGAAAAACTGATGGAAATAAGAGGTAACGCTGGAGTCTCTTAAATTATCAGGGACATAAAGATTGTACCTATTTCTGTTTCTTACCAATTTCTGCAGCCAGAGAAGGATATCATCATGGAACTGAGTGTCTTGATTAACTCTCCTGGTGAAGGTGAATAAGACACTAATGCACTCCTTTAGTTGACACAGATCAGAGGGAATAGTTTCTATTTGTTTAGATGCTATAAATAAAAAGAGGATTGAATGAATTCCCATAAATGGGTTTTGGGGACAACTAAGTTTGTACAGTTCTCATTTAAAATGAACAAGAGTCCACATACATAGGCTTAGAAAGCAATTATCTATCTCATATACTTTGTATATATTATCAGGAGGGGCCGGTACCTAGAGAAGGACATCACGTTGGAAAAAAGTACAGAGTCAGAAAAAGACAGGAAGATCCTCGACAGGATACAGGAGATCTTTATTGTAAAACCAGATGGATATCTAGTAAGATGCATATAAATGTCCAAAAGGGGAAGGGGGGGGGAGGAAGGGCGGAAATCAGTAGGATAGCAAAAGTTTTGTAGGCAGATGAGGAGGTGACGGAATAGAAAAGATTCAATGGGGACTAAAAAAGATGGGGTAATAACAGGCATAGATCAAAAGTAATTCATTACATAAAATACAACGTATATGAATGATTTTATGAAACCAAATGTAAAACAAAGATTGTATTAAACAAGTACACAAATGAAACACAGTGTAAACAAATTACTGTTTATAAGAAAAAAAGATGGATTGGCCCAGTGACTACAACAATAGGTTAACTGTTCTAGGCACTTCACCGAAGACGACATTCAGATGGCTAACAAACACATGAAGAAATGCTCAAAATCCCTAGCCCTAAGAGAGATGCAAATTAAAACAACTATGAGATATCATTTCACCCCAGTCAAAATAGCAAAATTTAACAGAACAGCAAGCAACAAATGCTGGCGAGGTTGTGGAGAAACTGGAACCCTGATTCACTGTTGGTGGGAGTGTAAAATGGTGCAACCCCTGTGGAAAGCAGTATGGCGCTTTCTCAAAAAGTTGCAAATAGAGATACCATTTGACCCAGCAATTCCACTACTGGGAATATACCCTGAAGAGACCATATCTGACATCCAAGCAGATATATGCACACCCATGTTCATTGCAGCTTTGTTCACAATAGCAAGGAGTTGGAAACAACCTAAGTGCCCATCAACAAACGAATGGCTAGAGAAGCTGTGGTATATTCACACAATGGAATACTATGCTGCATTGAAAAACAAGGAACTCATGCAATATTATTCAAAATGGTTGACTCTGGAGAACATTATGCTGAGTGAAATATCCCAGTCACAAAAGGACAAATATTACATGATGCCACTGTTGTAGAATGGGACTGTCCTTGGGGTTAGGGAGACACTGAGTAAGATGGGTTCAATAATGTATACTGCACTGAAGCAGAGGAGGGAGAGAACCGTCTAAAAGAGAGATGTAACTGGGTATTTCTGTCATCACAGGAGACTAGAGCGAGGGCTGCATGGTGGAGGGGACCTGGGGGAGGGTTTGTAAAACAATGAAAGAATCTTTTATTTTACTTTTCCATAATTTTTGGACTCATGTACTTATAACTTGTTAGTCAAATTTGTGTCTTCTAGGTTGCAACACCCCCATGATACATCTTGAAGGATATGTACATGTACAGCCAAGCACAATCAATAAGAGTGCATCTGAATTCCAAAATCAATCTCCATAATAGTCTATGTGTTTCCTACTGCCAAAGGGGCCCTTTAGAGTAGTGAGAGAAGATCTTCACCCTGAAACCCACAGCGTCCCTTTTCAGCAGGAAGTAGCTAAGAGAATACGCCATCCCCTTTTCCTTATGACTCAGGGTGAAGTCTCTCTCAGGGAGGAGTGATAGGGAATGGCAAAGGATACACTGACAAAGATTAATCAGAACTGGCTTTGACAAGCACTGTGGCATTTGGACAAGAACAAACTGGGAGGAGGGTAGAGAGAATAGTGCAACAATGAATGAGTGGAAGCCCAAAATCTCTGTAAATGTTTATGAAAATTAATAAAATATAATTATAGAAAAAAAAATAAATTTATTATTAACTTAAATGAAAATTAAAAAAAAATAGGTTAACTGTTCTGTGATTGTTAATTAATTGGTTGTAATTATTCATAATTTGTAAATAATTGTGATAGTCAACAACTGCAGAAGACACTGTAAGGATTTATTTCTGTGCACCTGGGTCACCAGAGGTCAGAGCCGACTTGACGGCACCTTACAACATCTAAACCTAGAAAGTATTCCAATCTGTGAGGTTCAAGTAAGAGAAAACTGGCAGGAAGTGAGAGGACAGGAGGATGAACGGAAATGACAATCAAACCACACAAGAATGCTGACACAGGGAGGGACTGGAACAATGTCACTGCAAATCAGGTACGAATGGCTGCACAAGCATCAATCTGCTCTGCAAGCTTTCATTCACTTCATAATAAAATGTTTTTAAAAGGGGAAAACTGACTTCATCGAAATTAATTTTCTGTTCTTCTTAAAACCAAACACTAGTTCAGCCTAACTCGTAAAAATGTCTGCATGTGCACTGCAATTTTGTCAAGACCTGTATGAGAGCAAATTAACAAAATGTTCAGATTGAAACCTTAGGGGGAGCAGTGAGTGTTAATGAAGAGAAACCAACTCTTCCAGAAATTAAAATTCCCTAACTCAACATGCATAGCTAATCTCCAACACATCATGCAGTAAAGATAGGAACAACTCAGATCCTAGAACTTCTGCTGAAAAGGATGTCAACAGTCTGGTAAACTAGACAAGTAAAAATAAAATTGCAAAAGATAAAAAGAGCTCTGACCATTAGTCTTTTAGTAGCTTTGGGATCAAAAACTATGTGGACTCTCCTACACATATAAACTTTTATATATTTACATAAAATAGAACAGCAATGATCAAGAGGTTTTTGCACTTTAGAGAAGCAAAGGACAACAGCCCATGAAGAAGAAGAGCTAGCACCTCTGAGAAGCTGCATTAGGGCCAATCTCACCCCTACATTGGAAATTTGTATATAATCAAGTTGACCAAACCACACCACTGCGTTGTGGTTTTATTTTGGATCACAGTAGAGGCCATCACTATTGACACAACACACCTGGCCCTTGCTGATTTGTTGCAGAGCTCAGCACAGCCAAATTTTTGAGCAGTGCATAGAGGTAAGACTCCACTTGCAGCCTTGAGAGCACAGAGGTGTAAGAATGCAGAGCCAGGGTCTGGTGGAGGTGCTCAGATTTGGCATCAAAGAGCTTCTTTAGATCTCCCAATGCGTTTTCATTCATCTCTACCCTCTGGTAGCGGTGGTAACCTGAAACTTTCACTTGATCTGCACAGATGCCCTGGTGGTAAAAAAGAGAGTGAAATGTGAAAAGTTACGTGTTCAGTTTCAGTGCCATCTTCAGTGAGTAAGTAATTTCAGTGAGGAAACAACATTACCAGGCAGAAATTCATACAAGCAGCTATGCAATCAAGTGATAAGGGGTATGTCAATAATAAATGCATTTATAATTCAAATCAAGAAAGAAGAATCCTAAAAGGTAAGTGGGGAAGCGGACAAGAAGATGATAGTACCTGTCTTTAGTATTCTCTTGATTGCTACTATCACCTTCTATTTTGTATTGTTATTAATTTTAATGAAAATTTAGAGACTATGGATTTCCATTCATTTACTGCTATACTACTCTCCCCACCCACCCCTCCCCCCAAGTTCATTCTTCTCCATGAAAAGTAAAAGAAAAATTCCTTCATTATTATACAATCCCTCCGCCCAAGTCCAATCCACTATGCAGCCTTCGATCTAGACTCCCACCATGATAATAATACCCAACACCTTCTAATTTATTAACATTCAACCCTGAATCACTCCTCAACTTCAAGGTGCTTCAAATCTCTATACACCTACCCTCATCATTCTCTGTCAACATTCTTCTCAGATAAGAGATCCCTGCCAACACTAACTCCTGCGACCATGTTTTTTATCCTACTTGTCTATATTTCCAAATTGTCCCCATTCCAGACTCTTTAACAAAGAGAGATACACAGCGCCCAACACTTACTCTACACTACCAGGGCTCTTGTATTCTTGAATTAATTGGCAAAGTTCACAAATTGGGCTCCCTCAGGTAAAAACCCAGATGTCTAATTTCCCTGGGTAAACTGCAGATGTGGTAGTACTGGATCAATAAATAACACAATCTGGCAGGTGGAATCCACCATCGCCTCCCTGAGGGAAAGATAAGACAATGGCGAGTCAGCTATGAGTCGGTTTCAACTTGATGGTCATGAGTTTTTAAAAATTCAAGAGTGGGTGTCTCTAAAGATGGAGCGAGAGCTTTCTGAGATCACCACTGCCCCGTTTGACCTGCTTCTCTTTTTCAGGTTCTCGATATGGCCCCTTACTCTGTGGTATTACACTGAACTAAGATGAAGCCAGTGTGGAAAGGTGCCCCCTGTCATCCCAGACGGCACCACGGGACCAGCAGCTTCACTGCAAATTCCCCAGCCTCCTGCAAGCTCAGAACGAACGCTCGAGAAAAAATACCTGTGCAGACACTTGCTCCTCCTTAAAGTGCCAGAGTCGACTTCTGGCATTTTGGCAATCAGCCGTGAGAGTGAGCAGCTCGGCTTCGGCCAGCAGCAGCTGCTTCCTACACCGCGAGTAGTTCAAAAGCAACTCGTAAAACTTGTGCCTGTCCTGATGGGCCATGCTGTCAAATTCTTCCAGGTATGACTCAACGTTTTCCAGCCAAGAACCAGGCTCGAAGACTTTGAGCTGCTCTTTAGTAAATGGGGCAAGTTCAGGTTCAGATGGGAGTTCAGGGTAGAGTCGCTGACTATGAAATAAGGGTTTCATGGCCACCAAGGCTGGTTCTTCTACGGTCATTTCAACTGGCAACGGGGGGTACAGTTTTTTCACTTTAGGGGGCTTAAAGATGTCCGTGGCTTCACAAGAACACTGCATGCCCACAGTGTGTGGCACCTGTAAAGAAACACTCTGGGCTTGTCTGTCCTCTGTCCTATGAGGAATGTCTCTGCTCTGTAAACTTCCCACTTCCAGTTGAGGAGGTGAAAAATTGGACTGCTGTGTGCTTTCTGATGGTCCACACTGCTCCAATTTCTTTTCCTCCACTTCTGGAAAGTTCTCGGGGTTTTCTACTATAGTTGCAACAATGTCTCCAGGGTCAGCCGCCTGCTTGACTTCTTCCTGCTCAGCAGAGGCTCTCTCCTCTGCCTTTTGCTTTAGAGTCTCAGCGGTACATGGCAGGGACCCAGCACTGCTCAGGGTCAAGGAGGTGAGCTGTATATCAAACATTCCACTCTCGTTTGGTTCACTGGCATCATTCTGCAACTGAGAATCAGTTAACACTTTCAGAGGGTCTCCTCTGAGCTCACAAGCTAGAGGAGGGATCTCTTGTTCTCTGGAAGATTCTAGAAGAGAGACTTCATCGGGTTCTTCCCTGCGAAGGGTTTCACATTTCTTTTTTTCCTGAAAATAAGATTGATAATATGAAATCACAACAAGAGTTGACAATTTCAAGCTGAGGAATTTTTAAACTGCACATAAAATCTAAATTCTGTCATCAAACAAGTGAAATCTAAATTCACTTCCCAAAGCAACATGTTTTATATTCTGATTAGGCAATTTTGACTGTGTAAGGCAAACAACACAACTTAAGAATGGAGGGGGAAAGTCTTAACTAGCTTGTTGTCCACCCTCCTGGAAGGAAAGTGAACGAGGCTATCTCCAAGTAGTAGCGGTCTGCATGTTTTTGTCTTCTTCTGGACAAACATTTTTCAAAATTCTGGCAGGAAAAGCTAAAACAATTTTTGAGTTGAGAAACAAAAGCAACAACAGTAGTTTTTATTTGTAATTTACAGAACAAAATAAATACTCCTAGATACTTATTGCATAAAAAAAAAACCCTGAACAGTCTAACGCCAATTGAGCCTCAGCCCGCTTTTACCACCAAAGCTCACACTTTATTTTTTTACTTCTCTTTTTTTGTGGGTTTTTAAAACTGAGATTTTAATGAAAGTTTATTGAGAATTTGGATTTCCATTCATTCATTGTTGCACATATTCCTCACTGCCCACTCCCTCCCAGTTCGCTTTTCTCTTTGAGAAAAAAATTCTTTCATTATTGGACAACTGCCCACCCCCACCCCAGTCCACTTACTATGCAGCTCTTATTGTGAACTGTTGTTATGCAAATACTTAATCATATATTCCCTTTAAGCAGTTCTTTCCCTCATCTGTTCCAATGCAGTATACATTACTTATCCCTTCTTTTCTTAGTTCCTCCCCAGTCATCATGTCAATCCTGTTTATAATGGTGGCATTATACAGTATTTGTCCTTTTGTGACTGAGATATTTCACTCAGCTTAATGTCCTCCAGTGTCACCCAGTTTGTCTATTTCATGAGTTCCTTTTTTTTTTAATGCAGCACAGTATTCCATCGTGTGAATATACCACAGTTTCTCTATCCATTCATTTGTTGATGGGCACCTGGGTGGTTTCTACCCCTTTGCTATTGTGAGCAATGCAGCAATAAACATGGGTGTGCATATATCTTGAGTGGCAGTTCTGGTTTCTTTGGGGTATATTTCCAATAGTGGAATTGCTGGGTAAAATGGTATTTCTATTTGCAACTTTTTGAGAAAATGCCATATCACCTTCCATATACCCTAAAGAAACCATAACCACCATCCAAGCAGATATATGCACACCCATGCTTATCATGGCTTTGTTCACAATAGCAAGGAGTTGGAAACAACCTAGGAACCCATCAACAAACAAATGGATAGAGACGCTGTGGTATATTCACACAATGGAATACTACGATGCATTAAAAAACAAGAAACTCATGCAATATTATTCAAAATGGGTGACCCTGGAGGACATTATGATGAGTGAAGTATCTCAGTCACAAAAGGACAAATACTGCATGGTGCCACTGTTGTAAAACAAGACTGACCTCGGGGTTGGGGGGAGACTGAGAAAGATGGGATAAATAATGTATACTGCATTGAAACAGATGAGGGGGAAAACTATTTAAAAGGGAAATGTGATTAGGTATTTTTGTCATGATGGGAGTTCAGAATGAAGACTGCATAGTGGAGTGGACCTGGGGAGAGGGATTGTAAAACAACGAAAGAGTTTTTCTTTTACTTTTCAATGAGAAGAGTGTACTGGGGAGGGCCAGGTCAGAGAGAAAAGTGCAACAATCAAAAAAAAAAAAAAAAGAAAAGTGCAACAATCAATGAATGGAAATAAAAAAAAGTTTCTTTTCCTATGCCCTTCTGAAACCAAAGATCCAATAAAATCACAAGAAGTTGAACTTTTACAGAAAAGTCTGTATCTTCGCAGGCATTTAAAATGCAAAATTTTACTTTGATTAATTTTAAAATGACAGCTAGATTCCAATCACTTCACTCATTTAATTATCTCAGAATAAGAACAAGAGGACATTGTGTAGGTAACATTACAAACTCCACTCTTACCCTCAAAAATTAGTGTTTAATAAAGAATTCTATTTTAAGCAAAAGACATTTTTCTTAACACAGAAAATGTTCAAGAAGATTAAGAAAAACCTGTATTTCTATATTTTTTATTTGCACAGAAGAAAGAATAATTATAAAATAATCACAGTAGAAAACAAAATACCTCATGAAATGACACAGACAGGTTAATAAAAAGTAAAAACATAATTATATCATTAAATAAGCTCCCTTAAAGAAGAAATCACAACAAACTGTTACCAAATTGTTGTCAGATGGTAAATCCAGGGAATTTCATTTCTAGGTTCTATGTGTGAGCCCACACTTAGAGATACTGGGTTTTTTTAAGGGAGCACTTTTTGTAATTAGCGGTAAAATAGTTTTGCTTTGTTTTTAATTTCTACAGAACAAAAGGGAATTTCTCTACATCACTTAAAATTCTCTATGAATTTTACAAAGCAAAAAAACTGTCACTCCTTACTTAAGTAAAATATGCTTTCCTTCTTCACAAAGGACAGGCAATAAAATGTCATAGGTTTTGTAGAATACTTATCATTGGATTAGGTGAAAAGTCAGGGTGTGTTTGTCATTCACCAGCACTGAGCACAACACAAGGCCAAGCAGATGGAAAAAGGGCTCAGACACAACAGTCTACCAAATCAAAAGCTCTCAGGACATCTTCCCCAAGTGTCCAGGGATGGACAAAAATAATATACAAGTGGAAAGGGTTGGGGGAAGGGAGGGTGTTCTGCGTCTTTGTTCTACAATGACCTCAAAACCCCTCATCACTACTATGCTCTCATAAAAATAAGTATGTATTTGGAAAACAATCTTTAAATTCACTATGGCCAGCATAAAGGAAATATAAGAAAAATGGAATCATGATCCTTAATCTAACTTGGAAGAGAAGATGTCACTCAAGTCTCTATCCTTGAAGTCTGGACACCACACTGGCCCTTGTCCTGTGGAATCAAGGTGACAAAAATCATACATAAATCCTAAATTTCTGCTCATTTACAGAACACCCCACAGACTGTAAAAAGAACAAACAAATATGTCTTGGAGAACAAGCAGCCAGAAGCTACCAGAACTCACTTACAATTCCTTACAATACCCTGTGTGATGTGGCTCTCTGTTACCTTTCTGATCACATCTATAGGGGACTGCATCTCTAACCAACAAGGAGGAGTTTCCTGGGTCGTGCACATGGTTAAGCACCACAGTTACACACCCAAAGGCACCTCAGAAGACAGTCTTGTGATCTGCTTTCAAAACGCCTGTCTTGAAAACCCTATGGAACACAGTTCTCAGCAAGCATGGGCCCTCGGTGAGTCAGAACAGACTCCAGGGCAACCAACAAGATGAGAAAGAAAAGACTCTCTGTTATCAGGTCACTAGGCCGCTGCTCAGTCAGTCCTCAGAACTTACTGTACACTCTTCTGAGCTGCTGGCATTTAGAATCTAATTGTTAACTGTAAAACTACCTTTATATGAGCATAAAGACTACTTAATCCAGACCAATTCCAACTCTTATGTTATTAACCTACACTCTACCACGATCAACAGAGTCCTCTGATACTGTACTGTATGCCCTCAATTCAGAATCGATTCCTAGCTGACTCTCCAGGTTTTCGGAGACTCTGTATCACACAGGAGGAGAGGGCCCATCTGCGTCCAACTCAGGGTCCTCTAAGATAGGTGATATTTGAACAGAGAAATACCCTCACAGAATGGGCATGCTCTTTGAACTACTTCTTAGGCATCCAGTGATGCACACCAGATAATAACAAGCTAGCAAGATGAAGTCATCTATCAGATGATTAACAAGGAAGAATGTAGGTCAGTTGCATGGCAAAATTCAGAAGTCATTGTAAATATCTGAAAGGAAATGGCACATGACACCATTTACTTCCTGATCTGAGACTTGGGCCGTCATTCTATGACTCCTTTGACAGTGGACAAACGATAAGTAAAGGTTCCACTAATAGAGGGCTTTAAAGCCATGAGCAAACTGTGGCCAGCACAAAGAAATGAGACCGTTTACTCTGTACGAATTCCTTTTACTAAGAATCTTTCCTAAGAATTCCTCATACTAACAAGGACTTTTATCAAGTTTCACCTTCGTGCCAAGTCAGACAGAATTTTCTGGAGTAAATCATTCTGAGTGGCAAAGTTTGGAAGTAATCTTTAATGCTGATATTTACACCTTCATTCAACAAACATCATCAAGGGGCTGCAATGACCACAGTCATTTTCAATTGCTTCTGACGGACAAAGAACAACAAAAGAACCAATGCCTTTGAACTGTGGTGTCAGAGAAGAGTACTGACTATCCATCCCATGGACGCCAAAAGAACAAAGAAGCCTCTCTCGGCAGCAGTGCAACCAGCGTGCTGCTTAGAGGCAAGGATGGTGAAACTTTGTCTCATGTATTTTGAGTCATGCTGTCATGGGGGGGCAGTCCTTAAAAAAATGACATCAAGTTGGGAAAGGTGGAGGGTCAGAGAAAGAAAGACTCTCAACAAGACAGACTAACACTGTGACTATGTGTTCAAGCAAATCAGAGATGGTGAGGATGGTGCCAGAACAGGGCAAGGTTGAGACCTATCGTTCCTAGGACTGCTATGAGGACTGCCATGCTTTAGTCTTGTAGTGGCCTCAATGGCATATAAAAACAACAGAGGTACCTTGGAAGAAAGGATAGCATTCTACTTCCAAAGAATCTGTCACTGAAAACCCTGCTGAACACAGCTCTACTTTGGCACATGTGAGGTCATCATAGGTCAACTGGTTTAACTGGAACTAGGTCAAGGACAAGAGCTGTCGGGCCAGAGGAAATAGCATTCAGAAAAGCTCTGGAGGAAAGTACAAGCACACATGTTATGCTGTTGTTGCTGTTATGTGGCAACTCATAGCAACCCTATGTACAACAGTCCTAAACCCTGCTCTATTCTGTGCCAATCTTATTGTCTCTGACACACCTACCCCCATTATCAGTTGAGTTGAGTGATGTCTTATTTTAGGATTGCAAGCATTATCACGAAATACACAAAAAGTATATGAATTGCTGAAACTAATTTGCACAAGCAGCCAGGAAATTAAAAGACGTATTGTGATAGGAAAGTCTGCTGTTAGGGACCTCTCCAAAGTACTGAAGAGCAATGGTGTCACTCCGGAGACTATGGTATGCCTGATACAGGCCATGGTCTTTGCAATCACTTGTTATGCGTCAGAGAGTCGGACAATGACTAGGGAGGATAGAAGGAGAACTGATGCCTTTGAGCTGTGGTGCTGAAGAAGAGTGTTGAATATACCATGGACTGCTAGGAAAACAAACAGGTTTATCCTTGAGAGAATTAAACCAGGCTGCTCCTTGGAGGCAAGGATTCTGAAGCTTCGTCTGACATACTCTGGCAGTTCTTGAAGAGGGACATCATGCTTGAGAGGGTGGAGGGACAGCGCAGGAGGGGAAGACCCTCTATGAGGTGGATTGATTCAGTGACTGGGGTAATCAGGATGGTTGTGTCAAAGACAGTGCGATTAGCACAGGACAGAGCAGGGTTTAGGGCTGTTGTACATAGGGTCACTATGAGTTGCAAGCAACTCCACAGCACACAGCAATAACAAAAACAATTTGCTCTGTGTACTTTTACACAAAATGTGTATGAATTATTAAGTGCAGAACTGATCTTCTGTTACCCTTCACTCAGTTCAGAAATTAAAATTAACACAGTAACTTGAGAAGGAAAGAGCATCATAACTGATCACTTTAAAGTGGTAAACATTCTCTCCAGAGACACACATAGAAATAATAACAACGTAAATTTTTTAAATTAGCTAGCAGCATATTACAATGCTGACATCTGAATTATTCCACAATATTCAAATGGCAACCAAAACTCAAAGACATACACTTAGACATGTGGGAGAACCTCGATATGAAATACAAAGAATTTACATAAACTTACCATTTCATGAAACTGCTAGTATTTCATTTTATTAAAGTCTATTATCAATATGAACCATAACACACTAACTCTGTAAGTTCTTTTGTATGTGGTATACTGACAGACTGAGAAATGGCAAAACAAAGAAAAGATGGTCTGGTAAATAAGAGTTCCCACCCGCAGGCATGTCATATACAAAGCAGTGAAAATCTAAGACACAATGGTACAAATTATATTTTGTCTACATTAGTCAAATGAGTTAGAAAACAAATCCACTGCTTTGGAGTTACCTCACAGAGACCCTCTAGAACAGAGTGAAACTATCCCATAACAATGTCTTTATTAAGGTACTAGACAGAGAGTTAAGAAGGTTAATTGCTAAAGTGTTCACTAGTGGCTAACAATAAAGACCAGCTTGTCAAAAACCTGGGTAAATTGACAGTATGTAACTCCACTGCTGTTCCCAATTGCTGTTGTGTAGATTCTGACTCACTGCAATACAATGTGCACAAGCAGAACTACTCCAAAGGGTTATGAACTTTCAGAAGCTGACCACCAGGCTTGTCTTCCCGGGGCCTCTGGGTAGGTTCCAACTACCACCCTTTCAAGTAGGAACTGAGTGCTTAACTCCTCCGTGCCACTTTAAGTGACTCAAACAAAGCCTTTTTTAAAGGCGTTATAAAAAAAGACAATCTACAGAAATTTACAGTTTCTGGAACAGGTTACCTATGAAAAGTAGTCTCCTGGTATAACCTGGGTGAAAGTCAGATTTTTTGATCCTGAGGCCACATATATTCTAGATCACCCACTAATCTTAACTTATAATTTCCCAGGGATTCATTTCTGGATCTTTGTGCCCCATCTCCACTACAGGACAAGGAGAAATCGGAGCAGCATCACAAACACCCGAAATTTTGGAAGTGAAGCCTGGCCCATCACTAGTCTACTTTATAGCTGTCATTATCCTTCAAGCTCGACCAGAAGACACATTCCCCAAGTGGAGAGGCAGCCCCTTCCTTCTTTATGCACGACAGTGACTGAAAACGTCTCCAGGGGTTAGCATCAAGGCTAGAAATAGGAGGAGAAAATCTGCTTCCCGGTAGGATCGAAAGGATTCCCTGCTTCCGCCCAACGAGGCCAGAAGTAGGAGAAAAATAAACGATCTCCTCACGAACTCACAAAGTATGGCAAGGAAATGTGTCAAGACAGGGACAGAGATGCTGTCAGTGAGTAATAGGACCAAGCACCGGGAAAAGGGGCAGAGGGTGAGCAGGACTCAGGGAACAAGGGAGAGTCTGCTGGAGGGATCGAAGAGGAAAGGCTAGCCCGAGTGCACTCGCAGGGGCTTGATCCTTGAGTGCAGAGGAAGAGAAGTCCTCACCTTGCTTTTAGTCCGGCTGGCCTTGGCCTTGGCCCGGCGAGGGGGCCGCACGGCTTCAGCCATAGACTCGTCAGCGGTGCCGACGCCGCTTGTTTTTGCCAAAATCCTGAGCGTCCCTTACTCTGCTCAGTTCCGGCCTCTGCGCCGTCACATGACCCAATCTCCACCACTCGCAAAGCAGAAGCGGCAACTCGGCCGCCCTACGGATCGCGACGTCGAACAAATTAGCTCGAGAGGCCTTTTAATTGGCGGGTGATGGCTCCACCCTCTGGGCGGGGCGTGCGGTGGGTCCGCCCGCTAGCTCCGCGGGGCACTTGTTTGTGCGCGGAGCATTTGTCACTTTTGGCATGCAACTCTCCAGGCTGATTAATAAGTAAATTGCTTTGTAAGAGCAGAGACTTACCAGGGTAAGAGGACCTAGGTAAAGGGAAGTGAGGATCAATCGGCCGGCCGAGGGCGTTTATCTTTGGGATATTTTTAAAAGCACAGGAGTGGAGCACATTCTTTTGACTTTGAGCCCTGAGAAACTCCGTGACAGGACAAGGCCAAGACTCTTGAAGATGTCTGTGGAATGACAGGCTTACAGATAGCGGAAGGAAACAGTGACTTTCCTCCAAATTCACAGAGCTCAGCCCTTCCCTCTACAGCTAGCATCTGAACTTGGACTTCTTCTTGTTAGTAGATGCGGTCAAGTCGATTACTATTCATAGGACCCTATGAACAGCAGATCTGAATCCTGTCCTATGCTGCACCATCCTTCTACTTGTTATGTGCCATCGAGTCGCCTGCGACTCATAGAGCCCTGTAAACCCTGCTCTATCCTGTGCCAGTCTTACGGTCTCCGACACACCTACCCCCATTACACCAGTCACTGAATCAATCCATTTCATCGAGGGTCTCCCTCTCCTGCACTGTCCCCTCCACCCTCCCAAGCATGATGTCCCTCTCCAATGACTGGTCCTTCTTGCAACATGTCCAAAGCTTGTCAGACAAAGCTTCAGAATCCTTGCCTCCAAGGAGCAGCCTGGTCTCCCTCTCTCTAGGATAAACCTGTTTGTTCTCCTAGCAGTCCATGGTATAGTAAAGCTCTTAAACTGTAAGAGACTGGATTTCTGGTTTTGAAGCCGTCCTGTTGCAGTATCTGAGTTGTAGCAGTTCTGGATGAAAATGATGGAATCCCAATTGCCCATGAGAGCCTGAACTTCCCTCATCTAGAAACCAACTTGGTCTAGGCAATAGATTTTAAAAGTAAAGCTGTCTTTTAAAGCCAAATGTCATTTTAGAGAAGTTCCTCACTAAATACAAAAATAGTCATTTAAACAAAAGTATAACCCTTTCATATTAACTTAGGACAAATCTGTGCCTTTTTAAAGTTGTAATGAATAAAAGAATTTGGCAAATAGACAGCCAAATGAACAAAGAGATATGTCTTGGGGAAAGTGCAGCCAGAGGGCTTCTAGAGGCTGGGATGACAAACCTTCACCCCACATTCTTTGGGCATGTTGTGGCTGTTAGGTGCAACTCAATGATCCTATGAACAACAGGTCTGACCCCTGTCCTACTCTGTGCCCTCCCTAACATCTCTAACACACTTGAGTCCATTGCTGCAGTCATTGTGTCAATCCATCTCATTGAGGGTCTTCTTCCTTTACTGATCCTCCACCTCTCCAAGCATGTCTCTTTCCAGGGAATAGCCTCTTTTAACAAGTCTAAAATACAGGAAACTAGGCTTCACCATCCTTGCCTCCAAAAAGTACTCTGGTTACACTGTCTTAAAGTCATGAGCCTCAAGGTTAGAGCCTGCAGCTATACCTGAGAACCTGTCCTCACCTAAGAATTGTATCCTATTTCCTACCTGAATTGTAACCTGATAAGTTCCCTAATAAACTCCATTGTCCTTGTTGTTCTGTACCCTCAAGTCACTTGCAACCCACAGCCACCCTATGTACAACAGCTCTGAACTCTGCTCAATCCTGTGCCAACATTATTGTCTCTGACACAACTATCCCTATTACCCCAGTCACTGAATCAATCCATCTCATCAAAGGTCTTCCTCTCTTGCACTGTCCCTCCAACCTCCCAAGCATGATGTCCCTCTCCAAGGACTGGTCCCTGCTTTAAATATGCTCAAAGTATGTCAGAGGAAGCTTCAATATCCTTATCTCCAAGGAGCAGCCTGGTTTCACCCTCTCTAGGATGAACCTGTTTGTTCTCTTAGCAATCCAGCTCAAAGGCATCAATTCTCTATCATCCCTAGTCATTTTTCAGTTTTCTGATGCATAGCAAGTAATTGTGAAGACTATGGCCTGGATCAGGTGCACCTTAGTCTCCAGACTGACATCTTTGCTCTTCAATACTTTCAAGAGGTCCCTGACAGCAGACTTTCCCAAAGTAATTAGTCTTTTCATTTCCTGGACACTGGTACCAAGAATGTTGATTGTGGAGCCAAGCAAACAAAAGTTGTTAACAATCTCAGTCTCCAGAGATGAAGAAATTGAGAGTGTTTCAACCAAGTCCTGCAGTCTTGAACTGATGTGCCATCAAGATAGGAGAATAATAATTAGCAACTTGACTGCACAAGTTGGAAATGAAGAATTAGTGGATGAAAGAATATTGCGTTGGTGGTAGAAATGAGGCAGATATCATCAATGATAATCATTGAAAATAACTTTTATTTTTTTATTTGTGTGTGTGTGTGTGTGTGTGTGTGTGTGTGTGTGTGTGTACTGTCAAATCAGATTTGACTGGTACAGGAGGAGATTGTTCCTCCTTCTCCAGCAAAGCATCTGGTGGATTTGAACCACACACCTCTGGGATTGCAGTGCAGCTTCTTGCCTCTAAGCCACCAGAGCTCGCCTGAAAATAACTTTAAAAAAAACAATCTCCATAATAGTCTATGTGTTTCCGACTGCCAAGAGGGCCCTTTGGAGTAGTGAGAGAAGACATTCACCCTGAAACCCACAGCGTCCCTTTTCAGCAGGAAGTAGCTAAGAGAATACGCCGTCCCCTTTTCCTTATGAATCAGGGTGAAGTCTCTCTCAGGGAGGAGTGATAGGGAATGGCAAGGGACACACTGACAAAGGAGATTAATCAGAACTGACTTTGACAAGCACTGTGGCAATTGGACAATTAAAACAGACATTGGGGGGGTGGGAAAGAAGAACAAACTGGGGATGAGGGTGGAGAAAACAGTGCAACAATGAATGAATGAAAACCCAAAATCTCTGTAAATGTTCATTAAATCTAATAAAATTTAATTTAAAAAAAAACAAAACATAGTAACTATACACATGGACTTCACCTGATAGAATACACAAGAATCAAATTGACTAATTCTATGGGAAAAGGACTATAGAGGTAGAACTATAGAGAAAGGATGTCTCGTGTACATTAGACATGTTGCTGTTGTTCTGTGCCACTGAATCAAATCCAGTTCATAGTGACCCTATGAACAATATCTCTGAACCCTGCCCTACCTTGAGCCAATTTTACTGTCTCATTCATGGCCACCACCATCGTGTGAATCATTCTCAACCAGGGTCTTTCTTCCCTGTAGGAACACGCTACCAAGCAAGATGTCTTTGTCCAAGAACTGATCCCCCCTGACAACATGCCCAAAGTATGTGAAACAGAGTTTCAAAACCCTTGCCTCCAAGGAGCCACCTGGCTTCACCTTCTCCAGGTCAGATATTTGTTCTCTTGACAATCATGGTATATTTAAAACTTCTCCAGCCCCACAAGTCAAAGGCATTAGTTCTTTTGTCACATTAGTCATTGTCCAGCTCTCAGATGAATAGCAAGTAATTTATTTATTTATTGCCTTTGACTCAGTAGAATCAATGGTACTACAGGAAGACGTCCAGGCTGTACTAAAAGTATTTGGGGGTGGGAGGAAGGCTCCAAAAATTGATAGAAGATCAATTGAGGTATTTCAACAAGCAGATGCAGCACTGGATGTGTTCACTAGACTATGCCTAGAAATCTGGAAGTCAACTGACTGGAAGAAGTTCACATGTCTCTACACAATAACTTTTTTTCTGTTGCACAATAAATTTTTTTTAAAATGATCCAATAGAATGCAGAAATTATTAAATAATCTCATTAAGATCACATACATGTGAAAATTTGGTGACTATTATTTAAAATTTGATAAGGAGTTCATCTACAAGGAACTGCCAAAAATTCAGTGGCCCCTTCTGAATCCAGCTTGAATTTCTGGCAGTTTCTTGTGGATATTAAAGGGAAATCATTGTTGATGTCAGATGGATCTTGCCTCGAATTAGAAAATATCAGAAAATAAAGTTTGCTTGTGTTTTCATGACTATGCAAAGACGTTTAACTGGGTGGATCAAAACAAGTTACAGATAACGTTGAGAAAAATGAGGATTCCAGAACACTTCATTTGTACTCATTAGGAATCTTTACTTAGACCAAGAAGCTCAAGGGAATACTGTATGGTTTTAAATCAGAAAAAAAAATTATCGGGAAAGGTGTGCATCAGGGTTGGATCCTTTCACCATAACTATTCCATCTGTATGCTGAGCAAATATTCTGAGAAGTTGACCATATGAAGGAGAATGTGGCATGAAGGTAGGAAGAAGATTCGTCAACACCCACACTAATGCAGGTGACACAATCTTGCTCTCTCAAAGTGAAGAGGACTTGAAACACTTAAGGAAGAAAATCAAAGCTGACAGCCTTCACTGTGGATTACACTTCAACATAATAAAAGCAAAAGCTTGAGTGGGGGGGGAGAGGGGGCGGGGAGAAGGGTGCAACAATGAATGAATGGAATTCCAAAATCTCTGTAGATGTTCATTGAAATGAAAAATAAATTTTAAAAAAAAAGCAAAAGCTTCCACCTCTAGGCCAATAGGCAACATCATGATAGAGAAAAGGTTGAAGTTGTCAAGGATTTCATTCCACTTGAATCCACAATCCATACGTATGGAAACAGCAGTCAGAAGATGTATTCTGTTGTCAAGAACCTCTTTAAAGTGCAAGGATATCAATGTAAATACTAAGATGTGCCTAACCCAATCCACGCTGTTGTTGTTGAGTCA